CACATTTCAAAATGAATAATTGTCAAAAATGACTAAAATACCTCCATAATTCTAGTCTTTGAAATAGTCAAATGTTCAAGAGACCTAAAGCTAAGAGCCTCCCACACATTCAAGATTATATGATTTATTGCAGTTGCTTAAGAAAATACACTTCACAAAAGATATGGATTCATTTCATGGGCAGGGCTTCTGTCTGCCGAATGACAATAGCTTTGTTGCTAAATGGCTAATGAGGTTTTTATTTTAAGAGTAGCTGTGCTTTATGCACATTAGGAAGTCTGTAAAACAGCATAGATTAATTCTATTACTTCCTTTCAGAGGTGCACCCAGCTCTATGAGTTCATCAACTTCTCCAGAAGCTGTACCTGGATGATGGAGGCTTTCTAGAAGAGCTCCTGACTGGTTCGACTCAGGGTGCTTTCTCTTTTCTAACTGATCTGACATTGGTTTTCCGAAAACTGCCCTGGACCTTTCTGAAAAGTTCCAGTGAAGTTGACTTAATGTTGGACCAAACTTTGTGACCTCATAAACCTGCATCAGACTGTCAAAGGACCATAGGAAAAGAACATTTGGCATTCCAACTCAAAACAACTTCAACAGATAAGTTCATGAAGCTACTGAGGCTGTTTGTGGAGTTGTATAATGAGTTTTCAGTTAAGTGCATCTATAGGCCATGTCCACATGTACATCGATACACAAAAAGTACACAAAAACTTTTTTCCTCCATTTTTTAAAAAACACATAACCTGGCACTTTGGAAACAACATTTTTCAAAAAAAATAAATAAAAGGGTTTCAGTGACCTGATGTTGCATTTTTGTTGTTGTTGTTGAGGAACAGCTAAATTGCATAAAAAAGCTGCATGTTATTCCATTGCCAATGAGAAACAGCTTATTTACAGTATGTGTATATATATATATATATATATATAATGACATCTGATTCCAATCTCATGTGCCACACTCATGTGTTGAGGTTTTTCCAATCACATGATCATGTGTTCTAAAAGAAGACTCTTGAGGCTTTTGAAAGGAACAGTGAGCGCATCAAAGAACTCTGTCACCAATACGTCCAGGTAAGGTTATGCAAATCAATCATTACTGTACTATACAGAGTGTGTTTACTCTATAAACCTGGAGTTCATTATATAAGTACAGTACAGCATTTACATACACTGTGTCTTTTTACACTGTCACACTTCAAACATGGTCTTATTTTTAGAAACTTCTTCAGCAATAACATGATTTGAATGATTCTCTGAATGTTTTTGAGATATTGAGCTTCAATGTTTTTTGCATTTCATATAGCAAACAGTATGTGTGTAACATTTGTTTTTTAAATAAAAAATCTTAAAATGTAAACAACTAATAAAAAAATCCCATAATGTAAATAAGTTGTCATTTAATAAACAATATAACTAAATTTTGACAAAAATGTCAGATAGAGCTAATAATTCTAAGGTAATGAAATGTTTTATTGGAGTCAATAGAATTGTCCTAACTCACTCTCTCTATTGGTCCATCCTACTTTTCTCTGTCATGCGAGCCTCTTTTGCCTAGAAACATCCTGCTAATGAAAACATAACTTTACTTGAAAAACAGCATTTTCAGCATCATGAAAGGCTTTCTACCTTGCTAGTGAAAAGGAAAGTTTTGTTACCAAAAATGTCATATTGTTCAGGTGATGACCAAATTAAATATGAAGACAGACATTGAAAGCTTAATTTTAATATATCAATAGAAGCTTTAAATGTAAATATGACATGCCAATATGAGGTCTTATATGAAAACAGTCACTGTGGTAATTCTAGTTTTAGAATTAATACTGGTAATTCCAGTGCTATCATTTCCCTAGGATTAAGCTAGATTCACATATGGCAGAAAGAGAAAATGATAAAGTGTGTAGGGATATATTGAAGTTAATTTCACAAGTAGGTCTATATCAGTCAAATCGCTTCACTACATGAGCCCTGATCCATTAAGCTACTATTAGAAGTCTTCTGCATGAATGTTGTGGCTTCTCAATACTTCATCATCATTTTTGATTTTATCATCCTGTCACAAAAATGCAGGATTTACAGGTGATATGCAAGGTAATTTTTGCAAGATTTTTTTTACAGTTTAAAGTTCCCATCAACTTGAGGCAAGATCTGTGTTGCCTCTGGAAATTAATACACAACAAAAATCCGTCTTTGCTTCTTTTTTTGGCAAGGGCTGAAAACCTGAACAAACAAAACACAAAAAAAAAAGAAATACAATTGCAGTACTGGAATATCTGCTCAGTTATCAACAAACTGTATACTACTCAAAATAAACATATCATGTAATACAACTTTTTGTCTTGTGTGCAATGAGCAAATAAATGCAGGTTACAGTAGCGGCACTCTAAAAAGAAAACACAACATCTTAGAATTGCATGAACAGTTAGACAACAGTATTAATTCTCAAAAAACATTAGAACTGACAAGCATGAACTGGGTCATTATCACTACTATAACGTGTTTTTGATGTCCCAAAAGACTGATTCAGTTCTAAACGAACATATTGTGAAATAATGAAATTCTGATGTTTTAAAATAGTAGGTAGGTATCATATGCAGGTAGAATTATAAGTGTTTTAAAATATGTTTTTGGCATTTTTTGCCATATTCTTTAATTGAATGGATGGGATTTTGCCATGTCCCACACTGCTCAGACAATTTCAGCAAGTCTATAAGGTAGATTTAATAAAAAATTATTATTTTAAATTCTTATTGCCTTTAACAAGTTATTTGGTAAATCATTTTGATAACTTTTATTTTGCTTTCATTCATTCATTTTCTTTTCTGCTTAGTCCCTTTATTAATCCGAGGTCGCCACAGCGGAATGAACTGCCAACCCTTTCAGCACGTTGTATGCAGTGGAAGCCGTTCCGAGAGGGGTCTATATGCAGACCTGGTGCAATGCAATCTGAGCTGCATCCAATGCTTTTTAATGTGCTCACTTAACCCCACCCCTAACCCTACCCACCACAGAGACATCACTCACTCTATTGAGTGTATTGTGTCTGACATTGTATCGCTAAGGGTTGCAATCTCAGCTTGCATCATAAAAGCTGCATCCAGATACATTCTGCACATGTCCTTGAAAATGCTGTCCATCCTGTCATGTACTCATTGGCATCCCCATGCCCATTTTGCCTTTCTTCAGAGGAGGTTAAAATATCTGCTGTGCACACAGTAACTATCTACACTTGTTTCCTATTTTTCCTCATAACTGAAACTGAAATGTTTCAGCAATTGGTGAAGTTTTTTCCTTGCCGCTGTCGCCAATGGCTTGCATGGTTCAGGACTTGTGGAGCTGCACATCAATGGATTTGCTCTTCAGTGTTTGAACTCTTAGCAGTGAATATTAAACCACACTGAACTGAACTGAGCTGCAACTCTGAAAACTGAACTGACACTGTTTCAGTTCTCTATATTCTTCTATGTAAAGCTGCTTTGACAAAATCTGCATTGTAAATTTCTATACAAATAAAGATGAATTGAATTGTGCACCCTGTCACAAATCCTTTTTTGACAGGGTGGACATATGCATTGTTATATTTAATGTGTTATTGTTAATTAGTTAATGTTTTTATGTTACAACACTTATACACAAACATACAACACCAGTAGATGCAAAGCAATACAAACCATTTGGCAATATCAGGCTCAGTCTATATAAAGGATATCCTTTTAAAGTTCATATAATGGAGCTCATTTGGACATGTAATCTAATTATTTACCGTATTCTGAAAAACAAACAACAGTATTATTATGGTGTTTAACTTGAATTGCTTTTTTAAATTTACATTAACTAGCAAATTTAATTTAATTTGAAGGACAGTAACTGTTTATTTTCCTAATCATTTACATATTATTAATTCGTAATTTGTGGCTTTGGGGTTTGCAGTAGCTAGTGAAAACTTTACAATCCTTTCTTATTAACCCTCAAATATTTCTTGTTTTGCATGTTTTGCATTTTTTTTAAATATTCCTCCATATTTAGTTAACCAAATAAAGTCTTTGTCCACCGTCATCTTGTTTTCCACCATCATGTTCAGCTTCTATGAAAATAAACAAATTATTTCGAAAGTTTGACAAAATATTTTGGATTTTAGTTTTTATTTTGAAAAGAAAGTGCAACGATTGCTTATTTTACTGGGAAATAATTGTTTTGTCCATTATTCTATTAATATAAATAGACTTTTTCCAAAATCTATAAAGTTGGGTTAGTAAAAGGACACATGACCTTTCTGAAAATACACATTTTATAAGGTCTAATTAATACAACTAACGTTACGTGGTTAAATGAAAAATCTCAAACTTTTTTTTTTTTTTGTCTCAAAAGCACTTTATAGTAATTATGACCCAACTACGTTTTACTTACTTTTTACTTGTTTCTCACTGTGCACTCAAATACAAAAGTTGTAAACGGCTTCTTCTGTACAATGCAGTTACTTCCTCCTTTTCACAGGAGCGCGCACGATTGCGTACACATATGCAGGATGGCGTCACATTGAGTTTCTTAAAGGGGTTTTCCTTTACTTTTTAACACCGATGTGCATCATTTTTATAAATATTTAGCCCCCTCTCAACCATCACCTGGTTACATCTCTATGCACTCTGGATCTTTAGCAACTCTATTATGTACACTTTGATAAAAATGTAAAAATAAATGTTTTGTTATTTTAAAAATTCAGCGAAATAATCTTCTCTATTGAGAACAAACTCATTTATTATGAAAATAAGTAAAAGTGGTTAAAAACTCAGTATAACGAACAAGAAAAATACTGATCAGCAACCCTCACCTCAAACTGGATATGATGATGATGCAACGAGTAAAAGAAATATTGCAACTTACTTTTAGTTTCGACAGCGGCTAGCTTTCGATTCGTTGAACTTTACTATTATTAATGAGACTCCTCCTATGTGGTTGCGTCACGCTTTACAGTGTATATAAAAAGAAGAGAAACATTCAAGGACTGGAAAGTACGTGGTAGTAGCGGAACTTCAGGGTCAACATTATCGCAGCGATGCAGAGGTAAGATGACGAAATAATCGGCTATGCTATTAAGACCTATTACACGAAGAAGCGTTTTGGCTTGCGCAAGGTGCTGGAAGTAAACAAAAGCTTTTGAAACTGACGCGAGTACAGGATAAATGTGTGTGTATGTGTGTGTGTGTGTATACTCACGTCAGTTTCAAATGCCTATATATATATAGAGAGAGAGAGAGAGAGAGAGAGAGAGAGAGAGAGAGAGAGAGAGAGAGAGAGAGAGAGAGAGAGAGAGAGAGAGAGAGCCTTTATAATCGAGCGATTAACAAGCAATAATTAGTGTGGCGTATATTAGTGTCGCTAATATACTGCATATTTACAACATTTGAATCGTTAGTCACAAAGCGATTTTTTTCAACGTTTCACACAAACCATTAGGATACAACAGCCATGAATATTTTGTCTGAATGGTATTTAGATTTATTTACAGAATTTAAAACAGTTCCAATAAAGTTGGTGTACCAATATTCCTCACAATATATCGAACGTACAAAGAAATTAAGAAATATGTTTTAAACTACATACAGGTGAGTAGATGAGATGAATTGCCAGCTTTTGCTGAACCATCCCAGTACTAGTATTTCATAAAAATTAAATAGCACACATTAGAAATCGCGTGATGTACAATTTAAATAAACATACTTTTATTGCATACAGCTAACACTTGTGTAAGATATGATGTTACCTGACTGGATTTATTTTTATGCAGCACAAATGCCAAACCTCAGTTTGGACCGTGGCTCATAGAGCAGGTGGAAAGTGGGCAGTACGAGGGTTTGAGCATGATAGGCCATGACATATTTCGGATCCCTTGGAAACACAATGCTCGAAGAGACCTTGGTGACGCGGATGTTAAAATATTCAAGGTAACTTCCTCCATGCATGACAATCACCTTTTATAACAATCCACCTCTGCAGTCATTTAACAAGCATAGCTAGCTCGACTATGAACATCTTCATAGGGGGTGGGATAAAAAAAAAAAAAAAAAAAAAAAACTGGTGCTATTCCCTAACCATTAAGGAAATGCCCCAACATATTTTTGATTTCTCACACTAAAAATGTAAAAATTATTTAAATTATTTACATACTAATGTGAAATATTTGTAAGGCTTTATGTTGAATTTTTGGTCTGTTACAGGAATGGGCTATAGTCAGCGGCAAGATCAACGAGTATCCTAACGACAAAGCAAAATGGAAGACAAACTTCCGATGTGCACTTCACAGTCTCAAAAGCTTTGAGATGTTAGAGGATCACTCCAAAGATCCAGATGACCAACACAAAATATATCGCATCATTCGTCCTCAAAGTAAGTTAACTGCAAAAAAAAATGTTTGAAAATTAAAAATTGGTACATTATAAAGCCCTGACCAAATATTATCCTTCAGATCATCAAGAGATCAAGAGTGCGATCCAGAGTGCAGAGGCAGTTCAACGTCAGCTACCATTCATTGCTGAGGTCTACAATGCATCAAATCACATGTCTCAAGACATGGAGGTTAGGTCCAGATTTATGATTGTAGACATGAAAAACAAAAATAAAAAGTTTAAATAATAGACTATTTAATACAAATATTTGAATGACATGAAAGTCCAAATCAGGTCAAATAATGAATTGCACTACCAGTCAAATGTTTAATAATTAAGCATATTGCATTTTTTACATAAATTTTCAACACTGATAATAACAACCATTTCTTCTTTACAATAAAGCACTAAATTGGTATCATGCGACACTGAAGAATGGAGTAATCCCTGATGGAAATTCCTCTTTGCCACGATAACAAATTACATTTTAGATGCATTTTAAGACATTTTAAATGCTATTGATATTTCCAATGGATTTATTTTCTTTACAGCTGGAATTGCTCAACTTGGTGGAAACAATGGATCTTAATCTGCATGCAGGTAAGAACATTAACTAAAACTACCTTTAATATATTTATAGCTTATGAAATTACATAGATTCTGCTTGTCACTGATCATATTTTACTAATACACTGACTCACAGAGGTTAGGTTTGAAAGTGGCTCTTGCTTTGTTACATTTTCAAAATACCCTTTATTTTCACATGCAGTTTCCCAGTCACTGAAGACCTATTCCCAACCAAACATTCAAACAACTTCAAGCAACTACTTTGAGACCACCTATTCAGACGATCCATGCATGCAGAATAACATACCTGCTTCAGTCCAGCAATCACACACTACAGGTAAACACTGTGCAAGCTGTTGCAGATCTCAAAACCTAATAAAACCTTCACGAAAATGTATACCATTTTATATGAATTTGCATGGAAAAACGGGACACAAAATAAAACCCAGTCCTAAACCTTACTTTGAGTGTGGTAAAAATGTTTAATTATAATTGTATACAGTTATAGGAATTTGCCACTAAATCAACAAAATGTTGGTTGTATACAAGATAATGATGTTGTCCATACCTAAACATTCCAAATACTGCATCTCTAAATTGTGATATATATTTTTTACTTTTAGTGGACCAGTGGAACCTCGACCTAGAGATCTCAATCAGTTACAGAAGAACAGAAGTTTTGAAAACACGTCTGTGCTCATCATTAATTCACTTTTTCTATCAATGTGATCCATCTGAGCTGAGAGGGGAGCAAATACGCTTCCCGACCACAGACTGTCTGATTGATGTCAAACAGATACAGTACACTAAACGCATTTTAGACAGTATTCAGAGAGGTCTCCAGTTGGAAGTAAACCAGTACGGCATCTATGGCTTTCGTCAGGACAAGTGTAAAGTCTTTGTCAGCACCAGTGACCCATGTGAGATCCAGAAACCAGAGCCTAGGAAACTGCAACAGAACTCCAAGGAACAACTGCTTAGTTTTGACAAGTACATAAGAGGTATATGTTTATTTAATATTCAGTTAACGTAATATTATCAACTTCTTAAGCAAAAATTTGCAGCGCTGTTACCAACTGAAAAAATAAAGAATCATTTATTTATTATAATATACGAGGTCATCAGAACTGCCTTAAACCTTTTTACAGTTATTATTGTTTTTAATTTTGATCCCATTAGCATTTAATTTAAGCAAGCGGAAACCATGTAAAACACATCTAGCATTTCTGTCTAATGGTGTGGGTAAGGCAAATAAAACACTGGATTTATGCTTTTAAATCCTCCTGGACTACTTGATACAAGTGGTTAATTGTAATTTTTCAAAATTATGGATTTTTTTTTTTTGCACTGTTATAACTGAGTTTTACGAATATGTCTGTCATTTCATGTCAAGTTAAAAACAGACCAGAACATCCTCAGTTGTATTACAGAAATTCTAATTTAATTACCCCACAACCCCTACCCCTTTCACCCCCTAGATCTACTGGATTTTAAAGAAAACAGAGGAGGGTCTCCAGATTACACCATCTACCTGTGCTTTGGGGAGAAGCTTCATGATGGAAAACCACTGGAGAAAAAACTTATTACTGTCAAAGTACATATTCCACACAAAGGCATATTTTGATTTTGCTTTTTAATCATCTTAAATCATACAATGTATATTTCTGGTCTCTGCAGGTTGTCCCTCTGATTTGCCGTGAACTTCATGAAAGAGCTCAAATGGAGGGAGCATCATCTCTTCGGAATGATAACGTTAGCTTGCAAATCTCCCACAATAGCTTGTATGACCTCATCAATTCTCTGGGTCTGCCTTCAGTGGAATAAACGATCTGTACCTTTCACAAAACCTTTTAAAATGAATACAGCAATTTCATTTTGTTACTGTTAAACTGTATAGCACAACGGAAATAGAGAAACATTCATAGGTTATTTCCATGGGGCATTCTGAAGTGATCATTTTGTGTTGTAGAAATTGCTGTTTCTGGCATTTAATCTCAATGAAACTGTATTTTATCGACTTCCTTACATTTTCTAATGAAGGCTAGGGCCTCCTTTTTATGTCTTCTATTGAAGAATCTTTCACACTTTGCCCAAAGAGCTTTGTTTTATTTTGTCTGTTGCCTGATTTATAAATATTGTGGAGTGGTTGATGAACACTATAAAAATGTTATATCTCTAAATGTCAATAAACCAAAACTAAAACATGTGTCTTGTGTAAAATATTAATACTTTAAATATACAACACTACATAAACATTAAGGAAATTAAGGATTTATATTTATATTTTAAAATGGGTAATAATACCAAGTTATACTGCAAAGACTTTAACAATACACTACCTGACAAGTCCTGTTGGTCCCAGTAGTAAGAGCAACAAATAATAACTTGACTTTTAGTTGATCATTTGGAAATATGGCAGAAGGTAGATTTTTCTGATAAATCATGTTGAATTGCATCCCCATCATCACAAATACTGCAGAAAACCTATTGGATTCTCACAGAAATCTTTCAAGTGACAAAGACTTTTTTCTAACCACAGTCAGACCTTACTGTCCTAATTAAACAATTAAAAATAAAGGCATGATCAGATTATATTTTGGTAAAATAAACAATCTAGAGCCATTTGCCTTTCATATAAGCCACTTCTGATAGCAAATGATTGCCTAGAATTCAAGCTATTTGTTATTCATAAAACTTGGATATGCAACAAGACTTTGTCAGGTGACTTTCTATTAATCATATAACATAAGCTAAAACTGAATTATGAGAATTTTTCCAAATTTTTGGAAAAAAAAAAAATGATAATCATTAATAAATCCAAAGAAATATTTTTATTATATAAAGAATTTAACAAATGTATTTGCAAAAACAGCAATGTACTTATGCCAATATACATGACTAATCACATAGACTGGTATAACTTTCATTAAGGGTAAGAGATCAAAATCTTTGATCAGGATCAACTTAGATCTCGACAATTTGCCACATGCACAAAGGCCAATTTTCTTTGCCCACCTTATTGTTAGATTAAACTAAAGTTACATGAGATAAATGGTAAAAAAATGTAGAAACATTTCTCAAGCAATTAAACCAACAATTAGTAAAATGACCTTTTGAATGATGCTTTACAGTCATTAATTTCTGTTATGTTCTTTACACTTTTCAGTGAAACTTTAGTAGTGATTAATAAAATGCTTCATTTTATCTCGGAGATTAATTTGATATGAATCACAAGAACAAATTCCTCTGTATACATTAAAATGTTCCAAGAGAACATAGCCTACATCAACTTTTTCCCATATTCGATCATTAAAAAAATTTCAAAAGAAAAGTCATCACAAGATTACCAGTGATTCCAAAGTCTCATCAAGACTGGATATCAGAAGAAGATTTTAATTTAAATAAATATGCTTTGTGCTTTCTGAGAAACACAGAACAATCCAAAAGTTGTGCATATATGAGTGAACTGAAATTTATAACAACATAATGCTCATACACAAAACTATATTTTTTGCTAATTGTACATGATGGTACTTTGGTGTTCACCAAGCCTAATATTATTGAGCATATATGACGCATATTTACACACAAATCTGTCATATTTTAGTCTGATGATGCAAGACCCTGTCCAGAAACTTAAACTTCCTGGGACTTTAAACAACAAAAAGTTTCTTTACACATCATATATTTAGATACTTTCCAATAATCTTCACATCCAAAAGAAACCAAATATTTAAAAGGGTTAACTGATAACAAGACATTGAGCCCTTAAGAGTTTCTTATTTTACTGCAGCTTTAAAAATGATCAAATCTACAGCTGATTGCAAAAGATGTGGTCTGAAAAGCATTTAGCAGTTACCCTCAGCCTCATACTGAAGTTTGGAAGTCATTCGGGACATCTTCATGGCGGCTTTGCCCAGATTCCTCTTTCCTGTGTCTTCTTGCATGTTTATATTTTTCCACATAGGCTGTGACTAGATTAGCTACCTTCACTGGGTTGATCTCACCACTCTTGCTATGACACACCTTGAAAAATGAGATTAAAAAAAGACAAAGATCATTAAAGTCATTAAAAAAAAACATGACAATTAATTCAGAAAATGGCTCTATGTAGTGAAGTAACAGAAAAACATATAAGTAGGAGGAAGTAAAAACACAACAGCAAAAGAAATCATCTGTGATCACACAATTACCTTCTGAACAGCTTTACGCAGAATCTCTTTGTATTCTTCCTTTGTGATGTCTCTTTTCTGATAGAAGGGCTTTATGGCAAGCTTGACCTCCTCTATTGCTCGCTCTTGCATATGAAGCTTCTTCATATACTACAAAAAGGGAAAAAAAAAAAAAAAAAAAAAAAAAAAAAAAAAATATATATATATATATATATATATATATTTATTTTTTTTTTTTTAAATCATCAATGAATGACATCAATGAATTTTAAAATCACAGATGTGATGAAATTGTGCAGTGACATACTCCAACCACCTTCTCTTTCTCATTGGGGTCCTGTAAAACGTCTTTGCGAGATTTTGGTTTGCTGGATTCGCCTTGGGGAGACTGTAGGCTGGAGAGTGTTGCTGTGACTTTTGAAGCTTTATCCTTTAATATGAAAAAAAAAAAGATTCAGGAAATTCTTGCACCAAAGTACCCGTAACTGTTGATAAAAAAATGCCCAATGAAATAGGAAACATTGTCTTATTTTTATTACATTCTCTAGCTAATATTCTATTAACAACTCATAATGACCCTGATAATGTCCCTCATAAACATAATGACCCACATAATCCTTGATTGACTGGTCTTTGTCAGGGACACTCCTTGGATTGCAATTTCCCATGCAAATGCAACTTTAACTTTCAGTTCTTGTGAAGCGAAGCCTTATATTGTATGTCTGCTTTCAGTTTCAGTCACGTGAGTACAATAGAAAATGCTTAAGCTGTGTTTCAACTTGTGAGAGTAAGAAATAAATTGTGAATGTCAACAGTGACATTATGACACCCTACGGTCATTTAAAGCAACTACATGATGCAACATTTATAATGATACTATTGACAAACCAATCCTATTTCAGTGTGGAAATATCTGCAAACTAACAGCTGATTATGCAACAAGTGCATTAGTCATTCACGACTAAAAATGACTAAATAAAAGTTTATAACATATCAATACTGGTAATGGTATATTAGCAAAGCTTGCTGACATATTTAGGTCACCCATTTTCTACATAAAGATCACACAAACGTTAATTACTGAAAGTGAACATTTTCTTTATTCTATAAAAGCAAATGCTTTTGAGCATAAAAAAATAGTAAATAAAAAACATTACTGTTTGGAAAGATGCCTTATTTGGCGTTAAAGGCGTTCTCTTATTCATGAATGTCTCAGAAGACATTAATAAAACACCCATAACATTAACCATGCTATTACTAACCATGTAGAGTGAATGTGCATTTCGCAGAAAATCATGTCAATACACATCTATTTTGTGAAATCTTGCAACTCTTTAATTCCGACAAACAGTTATAGAGAACGGAACACTTGACTAATGTCCAGCCACTGTGCCTGTTCTTTCATTTTAACCCACACAAGTAGGTGATGTGTGGGAGCAAACTATCAAATTGGTTAACGTAAAAATTTATGACACATGGTCCATAACTATTCGGTATACTTAGTTTAAAAAAATAAAATAAAATAATATATATATATATATATATATATATATATATATATATATATATATATATATATTTTTTTTTTTTTTATTTTTTTTTTTTTAATTTCCATTAAGGGCCTCAGTCTAAACTCTTGAATGTCTTCTAAAACTACCATTAAGCAAGTCTCACAGAGTTTTAGGAATTCTGCATTGAGTATGCATCTCTTAATAAGCACTGCCATCATCATGTAAACATCAGAGCTTTTTTATACAATCAAACTTTTTCAGGTGGACTGATTAAAATTGTTGCACATTCGGCTGTCAGAAATCCTGTAAACATAAACAAAATATTTTTCTAAAAAATATATTTCAAATTTATTATAATTTTTTTTTTTACATTAGATGACGACTAAGAATCTGCTGAAGTGTTTCCAGAAAAATGTGTCATATGCATCATGCATTTAACCACAGGTCTGAAAGTGGTGCATTGCGTGACATCTGAGGCTGAGACTGTATTCAAAATAGCTCCCAGAGAACAAAAAAATTACACATGTAAAAAATGGTAATAAGTGTGAGTAAATTATGATCTATCCCTTACAAACAGAGGTAAAGTCTTTACCTGATTAGAGAGTTGTGGGGTTGCTGCAGATCTCCGCGATCCTTCTTGCTTGAGTTTTAGTTTAAACATAGCAAGTTCTATTAAAGACACAATAATCAAAAAAAAAATTCTTTAAATAAATAATTTTATGTTATGTATTCTGAGCCAGGTGTGACTAAGGGTATGAATTAAACTCTACTGACTCAATATCTCATTTCTCAACTGTTGCAGGATTTGCCATTTAAACACAAAAAAATTCAAATAAAATAAAAAGTAGACACCATGGGTGTTCTGCTCCTGAAAGCCAATGTCCAAAATAAATGTAGCTCCACTTCATATAAACACCTATAAAAGGCTTTAAACTTTCAGTCAAGTATGTTGGGAAAAGTTTAAGCTAAGCTTTCCAGTGGGGTATTGCACAAAAGTGAAAACAAAAAAGTCAGCATAGCAGAAAACGCCAGGCTTGACCTAGTTTAATCGGGTTCTCATGGCTTAGTCTGAAGCACGTTTGCGGATTCAGGATGAGAAAGACCCGCTACGTCAAGCCCAGAGTAGATAGCCAGGATAAGTGCACATTTACAATATTTGTTAACAGACCACGGGATCGATCACAGAATCGATGCAAGCATGGATAAAACCTGATGTGAGCAAATCAGGTAACAAGTTCAGTGCCGTTCCCACCCATCAATCTGGTCCCTCTGACTGATTTTGAAACTCCCTTTACTTCCATGAAGAGATTTAATAGAAACATGAGGTGGCTTATTAAAAAAGTTGTTCCCTTTTCCTTAAATTTGATCAGTGGACATTCATCATACTCAGAACATTTATCATGACATTGATTTTATCTTACTTTATCTAGCTTATTTTACCTTCATCTGTTCATTTATATATCACTTCATTTAGACTTTATTTCTTTCTAACAATGCCATAATGTCAGCCTAAATGAGTTGACCCCTCATAGATCTCTCTTTTACATCAAACTCTTATTAATTAATAGATTTAACTGTTAACTATTAATAGATATAACTGTTAAAACACTGCTTTGTACACCAAATATATTGTCTAAACTTATTGATAAACAGATATAAATATAAATATTTAAAAGGGGTTGTACTCATTTATGCTGGGCACTGTATACATTATTTTTCTCTTATCATTAATCTATATTATATTTCTTATATTTATCTGCCAACCAACCCATCCCTGCCCCCCAAATTTTTTAATTTGAAATAGCCATATAAGAACATATATAAATATATTGCTACTACAATTGGCACATATTTTTAATTTTAATAGTTACACACATTATTTCTAGGAGCACTGACAATAAAATTAAAATACAAACCACTAGGGTTAATCATAGCCTGGTTGTTAGCCTGGAGCAGGCTAGCTGCAAAGAATACATCTCTTTAGTAACTGAATTTAGCCTGCTTTCATGCAACTGAGACAAGGGTAAATTCAGCCGGGATAGTATGACAATGCCAGCTTAATGGTTTATCTTGCTTTTGTGCAATACTCCTCTGGTTGTTGGCGCTCTAGGAGAAGGAATACAAACACCTCTTATCCTGGACATTGTCAACATCAAATCACCAAAGACCAAATTCCTGCAAAAATGTCACACTAAATGTGAATAGAAAGCAAAACTATGTATGTAAAATCAAAGCAGTACTTACTGCTTAATTTCTCAGACTGAGGTTCTACTGGTTCCTCCAAATTCCAAGTAACTCTCTTTCCCTGAGATTTAGACTTTAAAACAGCTGGAACGGTTTCAGAATTCTGTGTATTCCCAGCTGTAGACTCGGGAATGGAAAACTTGGGGTTGGTAGTTTCTGCTGAGTCAGGCATAAAGGTCTCACTCATTTCTTTCTTAATAAAGTCCAAATTATCGATCAAGTAATCAACACTGATATCTTCATCAGAAGAAATAACAGGTTCTTGCTTTATTGGCAGAATTGGTAGTTGAAGAGGTGACATCTTCTTATCCTCTTCCAAAGGTGGCAAATGATATGACTCAGTGGGCTCCTTTTTAATGTCCAAAGCATCTATATCATGTATATCCAAACTGATGACAAGAGGGTTGTCACTGATTGGTGACTCATCTTCATCGGGCCATATTTGCTCAGTTTTTATCTTTTCTTTCCCAATGATCATTTCTTCCATTTTTATTTCATCTTGAAAACCAGCATAGCCCTTTTCTAAATCAGGACTGTACAACTTGCTTTTATTGAAATCTGGTGATTCCTTGCTAATGAGACCTACAGTCTCAATCTCTGTCTTTATTTCTTTAACACCACCCAACTCTCTACACAAACTGAAATTGGGTTCATCCTCCTTTTTGATGTCTTTAAACTCACTGACAGCACTAATGGGCCAAAGTTCCTCTTGTTTAATTTCTGTGGACTTAAGCAGGTCAAGCGAAATGCCATCCGCTCCATCTTTTAATATTCTAGACCAGTCACCATGTTTTGATGACCCAAGCCCATGAGACTTGTTCATAGATCGAGGCTCCAACTCTTTAATTGATGGTTTAATGCACATAATCTCACGATCACACAGTCTTGCATCTCTCTCCATTTTCACTGATTCTGTAGTCTTGTTTGCACCAACAGAAGCCTCATGTAATTCAATAGACATTGGCTCTATAGATTCTTGGAAACTCTTTTCTCTATGTAGAGATTTACCAAGTTGATCCTCTCGCTTTTTTCGTTCTCTAGATGTTGATCTTAATTCTGATTTCTGCCTCTTTGACCTACTGTCACCCTGACACTTTGACATGCTTTTTCTTTCTCGTGATCTAGATCTAGAATATGAATGAGATCGGGAGTACCTTCTTTCTTTTGGCCTCTTTCTTTGTCTCTCTCTTCCTCTATTGTCACTCCTCTCACAAATCACTTTTTTCCCACTTGTACTCCTCTCTCTACTGCTGGAACTTGAACACCTTTTGTCTCTTGAATGCACATGTTTCCTCTCTTTCGACCTTGAGCGCTGCCTCTCTTTTGATTTTGAGCGTGATCGCCGCCGATCTCTTGACCTTGAGCGTGACCTTCTCTTTTCTTTCGATCTTGAGTGTTTTGTTTTGTGGCAATCTTTATAATGAAAGCTTTGACAGTTTGATGGTGACTGCTTATTATCTTTGCTCTGGGACTGGTGAGATTTTTCTTCCCTGTCCACTGATATGTTAGTTGCATTCAAAACCCCACTGACTGAAGGAAGCTCTTTACATACCAGGTTATGTTGTGAAGTTTGTTGTAGATTGGATAGAGATTCTTCAAGAGACTTTGACTGGGGCCTAATGGGTGTTGGTTCCGCCTCGATCTTGAAATTTAGCTCTGACTTCACATTCCTGTCAGTGCACGATGATCTGGTGCATTCCTGAGTTTTCAAAAATGAGCTTCCTAATGTTTCACAACTAGTAGGTTCCAGCATAGTCTCACATTTTGTAAAACTAACAGAAGCTCCTGAGGGAACAGGAATATTCATTGGATCTGAATGATGTGGTGACTGTTGGCATGGTTTGCATGTGGAAGTTTTAACTTCTACACAAATTTCTGATCCTGCTTCTCTAACTGGGTCCATATCCACAGGCTCAATTTTGATTCGATTACAGATGTCCTCACAAACCCCAACTGACATTTGAGACCGAGCATTTTTGGCACTATCTTCAAGACCCTCAACTTCTGGTTCATTATCAGAGGAATCAGACCCTGTAGGGCTAAAGGGGTCATAGACCTCACACTTTTCGTCTTTTTTCTTTTTTCTTGAAGACAACAGTATCCGTTTACTTTTATTATTAATTTTTGTTGATTCCTCATCATCTCCAAACAGAGCCCCTCCTGATGCCAGAAGTCGTCGAGTTTGCCATGGGTTTCCACTAGAGTTTATACGAAAACTTATGGATGAGGATGAGGGGCGTGAGTTTGAAGAGGCACTATAGGATGATGCAGTGGAGGTGAAAGAACTAGAAAATGAAGAAGAAGCACCAGTTCTATCAACTGTTTGCTTTTGCACATCCAATGTCCTGTTTTGCTGACTTGTACCTGTTTCTCGGTTATCAACAGCCTGCTTTCTACCTGAATTTCCCGCCAAACTCATCCCTGAAGGAACAGACGAAGCACTGCTACTGCTTCCACTACTCTTACTTCCACTATCCCTTTTAATTTTTGGTATCCTTGGCAATACAGAAACATCCACCCATACAGGCTTGGGAGGGTCCTTTCTTATAGGTGGTTGTCGTGCAATACCATCCTTGTCGTGAGGTGCAGAATCAAAAGAGCCATTTGACACCCTTGAGAAGGGTTCAATTCTAACCCCACTGATGCTCAAGTGACCATTTTCAGGTCTTGATAAGTTTAAGTTAGGTGGTCTGTGAGGAGCTCTAGGCTGCATATGAGGATAATTTTGAGATCGAGAAAGATGTGGAGCTTGTATGTGTGGAGATGTGGGATTCTGTGGTGTAGAACTGGATCCAGGGGAACTTTGTACTAGTGAAGGCTCCCTCAATGGGCTGGAGGAAAGACCAGCCTCTCCATATGAGCACATGAGCCTTTCGGAACTTGGTGTGTTGCCCATTTCTCCTGAACCTGTGGTTGGATTCCTTTGCAAGGAAAGGGACACTGTAAAGAATAAATGTAGATAAGACATACATTATTCAGGGCTAATGGCACCCTATTTTGTATACATAGAAAAAATGTTAACTGTAATAGAACACACCAAGTTACTGTGAGTGTTTTAACGGTACAGTGACCCTACTATTCCTATTTATAAAAATAAATGTGCAGTGTATTCTAGTGTCTGAGCACCACATTCACTAAAAGCACAGCCTTTAAAAATGCAAAAAAAAAAAAAAAAAAAAAATGTAAGAGTTTTACAATCATCTAAACCTAATAGTATTCAGAACAGCAAAAGGAATGAAAAGTATACAAAAACAATTTTTGATTGACATTCACTATAAGCCTATATTATACATTCTGCCACCAACCTGAATTCTGTTTTACAGAACATAACAGATAAAAATGCTTGAAATAGTGAAATTACAACACACTCCATTGTTTGCTACTGGGCACCAGGCAGCTTTTTTAGTCATTATGAAGGCATCTTTTTCAGGCAGTGGCATTACTAGTTACTGTAAAATAATAAATAATAATTTCAAGAGATTCCAGGGCTCTTCACACATTGAATTATTTGTGTGGACAATATCCATACTGACTGCGACAAATATCTACAAATAACCCTTGCCAAAAAGTCATAAACCGCACGAACATGTGTAACTGCATTATATATTTTTATTTCACACTCTTCAGGAAATAAAACCACAGGTTTTAGCAAATACAAATGTAACCTTGTTGATTATTACTTCTGTGATGATGATAAAATCTGAAGCTGTGCTCAAAAGAAGAAAACCTGGAGAAAACACCTCTACCGAGAGTGGTGAGTCCTCCGCCTCCTGTCTAAAAAGACCTTTTAGCATCCTTGTTTTTTCTGTGTGTAGATTAATGTAATTTCCCTTTGTTTTCATGCATTTGTTGCGGCAGTCCCGCGGGTCAAGGGTAACCACATAAATCGAGTATGTTTGAAATAATAATCTCAAAACCTATTTAGCTGGAAGATTGCAGTGATTTGAATTTATTTTATTTTCCCAGAAAAAAAAAATGCAAAGGAAGTCAATGATTAAATAGGTAAAATTTAAATTGAAAGGCTATTAAATGTTTAAAAATTATTAAATAAATGACCAAATAAGTAAATATAACACTGCCATACCCCAATGCAATACTATCGTATATCGTAATCTCACAGAAGGATGATGTAGAGATCTGAAAATGTTGTATAATCATAATCAGTCATACTGTACCTAGTTTAATGTTCTGTAGTGAATACTGCAAAACCAAACTCAGTGTTAAACTGGGCAAGTAACCAATGGTGGTAACTTACATAAAAGCCTCCAATGCATGACTTACCAGATTTGGCTGCTTTAAGGGAACCATCTCTGTTAATGACCACATCAGAACTGTCCATTAGGAGCAAGCTCTGACCACTAAGGATACTCCCCAAAAGGTCTGAAACGGGGGCTTCCTCTGCAACATCTCCCACTTGTGGGATAGTCACACTTTGCCTGGAAATCACCACAAACCAGAAGTTACACATCCGTTAACATTGAGAACATTTTCAGTGTTCATTATGCAAATATTTATCACCATGAATTAAGAAAAATCTGTTTCTTTCACTCTGGCATTAAAGAGTAATTTCCTCTTTAATACAAGTTACCTGGAGAGGCTGGCAGATATGGGTCTAGCCACAGGCTGATGTGACCGTAATGCAGAGCGGGAGAGACCTCGACGTTTAGCATCCAGAACAGAGGATGGTGTCAAAACTTGAATTTCATCCTCCCTAACAAAACATATTTCAAGAATGACTTACCTAGAAAATATTTTAATGTGTAAAAATCTGGCAAATATAAGCAAAATAAAAATAAATAAATAGATAAATAAATAAAAACATTACACGTAAGCTCAGTGAAACCTCACCTATCATTGAAAGGGTCCAGGTCAAAGGGATCTCCATAGACAGAAAGGGAAGCTGCTCCAATTTCTGCCCTCATACTTCCTAAACTGTACTCTGAAGGCCGATAAACAGAGGGAATGATGGAACCAGACTCTGGCTTCTTAATCCCTAGACTCCGTGCAATTCGGCCTCTGGAATTAGTTTCTTTCTTCACCACCTCATGGGGCAAAAACATTTTGGCTTACCACTTTTATCCTATATTTCCAAACTTCCATGTCTTTTTTATAGAGTAGTTAAAACAATACATACAATCAGTAAACACCTACAGCGCTCAGCACAGAAGAATATACCCCCACAAATCTCTCATTTAAATTTATATTTTCTATAGGATGCATCAAAATATTGTACTTGTGCATATACATTTCTTTAGTCAGTACTTAAGCCAAATCTGGAGCTAAACTAACAAAATAACTTACAACATTTTAAAAAAATAGTAGCCAAAATTTATATGTTAGGAAAAAATATAAAATAAAATTTTCAAAAACAGCAAAAATCAAGAGAAAAAAAATATATACAATTCTGTTGAAATCTTGTAGTCTGTAAATTATTTTGCAATATTTTGCATGAACTTAAATGTATTGTCTTTACATTTCTAAAGACTAAAATATTATTTTAATAAATATATCTGTTTAATAAATCTGTTTTGTTCAAATGCACCAATATATTACCCATATTCCCTGAGAAATGGATAAAATATTCATTTTCAAAATGGGGTGTACTCCTAAATGCTGAGCAATGTATATCACAGATTTCAAAAACCAAAAATAACAACAAACTTTAAACAAATCAGGCTACAAAAACATTAAAAATATGCATAAAACCTGGGTTATACATCTACCAAGAACTCACCAGTTTTCGTCTCAATTTTGACCTCCTGACTTTACGTTTGCGTCTTTTCACTCCCCTGCTTGGTTTCCCACCTGAGGTTGATGAGGATTTACTTTTGCTTTTCCTTCTTTTAACTATTAAGGGAATCACATTTAGTTCAGACAGGAACAAACAAATCACCCTTAATTTACACAGAGAAGTTAAAATATAAAACAAACAAATTTTAAAGTATATATGATGGCTTATTTTATCACCTGTCTTTCTTCTACGGCGGGGTCTGGAGCGTGGGGTCAAGTCTCGGACATACACGGCTGTGTTGAGTCCTGCCACTACAGCATTGATGGTTTCATCCAACCATGTGGACTGCATCATATATCTGGGAGCAAGCTAAAACACACACAAACAAGAACTCAGCTTGCTTATGGCAATTGTGGTTCTGCACAATTAATCTTTAAAGGTTAATAGAGTCTGCTGTTTATGCATCTTTCAGAGTTTACAGTGCACCCTGAAAGTATTCACAGCACTTTTTTGGTTAAATTTTGTTGCCTTAATCCAAAATCCTAAAATCAAAAAAATTGTACAAACAGTACTCCATAATTCTAATTTGAGAAAGCTAGTTTGAAATCTTAGAAAATTTATAATAATAATTGTTAATTAACAATAATATAATCCTAATCAATACATTTAGATAACCTAAATGATGACATGCAAGCACATTGCCGCCAAATGATATATATATATATATATATATATATATATATATATATATATATATATATATATATATATATATTCTAAAAAAAGCAATACCTAATCTTGGAGAGAGGTAAAACATCCTTTATTAGTGAAAAACATTAATGAAAAAAGTGTCAACTTCAAAACAGATGAGAATTAAACATCCCAAGTGAGTCTGAAGACAAACCATTTTAAAAATCATAAAATAAAAATCTTCTTTACCCTAAATACTTGACACTTGAATAATGATAGAGTAGAGGTACTGAGTGAATAACATTATAGTGGTGTAGCAGAGAGGTATGCAAGGCATGCCTCAAATTGCGTTGAGTTATTTTTTTTGTGGCAACTGATGCTCGTTAACCTATAGAAAACCAAATAAATAGATAGATTGTTAAACTTGATTTTATGATCAATAAAAATACTATTTCCATCAAAACTCAAAGACATACTATGTTTCACCTAAATCAGTGTTTCTCAACCATGTTCCTGGATGACCAAATCTCTTTTTTGAAATTTTCAAATCTCTCCAGAGATGTTCTTTCAGGTTCAGGTCTGGGCTCTGGCTAGACCAATGAAACATTCAAAGAGTCCACTAGCCACACATTTTGTTATATTGACTGTTTATTTTCATTGGTCTGTCAATAGAGAAACCGTGCCCTAGTTTCAGGCATGATAATCGTAACCGAACCGAATCGTGAGACCAGTATAGGTTCACACCTCTACGAGCCAGGGCTTTTATCGAGCCAGGCCGGGCCAATCGCCCGGGAGGTTGAGCAGTGAGGCCGAAATCATGTCGCGTTTCCACTGTCAGGTTAGTAGCTCACAGCTCGTCATGCAAACCCCGCCCCCAGAACATCACCTGAATCGAACGTCACTCAATCCACCCACTTCAGCGGGAATCAGGCAGATAAAGCACATCACATCATCACGAAACTATTAAAATTAGGACAACCAAAACAAACAAATGAAACGTTACTGTACAGCAGTACAATGTATGTCTATACGCACATGCCTGTGTGTTCTCATTCATCATATTCATTTACTCGCCGACCGACTGTTGGCATCGAAATCCAGTGGTCTTGCCACTAACGGAGGGACCCAGCGCAGGGAGTGCACACATCAATAATATAAAACAACATATATAAAATTCTCCGTTAATAACTCGATATAAAATTTTATAACATCCTCAGTTGTCTAACATTCATCCAAAATGCTCCTGAGAAAACTGAAACATTAATTTTTCCTAATAGGCTTTATGACACTAAATAGGTGATTCCCTTTATTTAAAGATGTTGCTTATTATATGTTAAGTAAAGGAAAGTGTTGAGTGTTTCAGCACATAAGAGCAGCACGTAATAAAATATAGCCTATATTTCGTTGCGCTCAGCAGCTATGAACAAACAAAGCTCTTTGTGTATTTAAAATTTCCTTTTTTAATTTTACCACGTCATTTAAAAACATACACACTTGTTTGAGGACACAGAACACATTTTGAACTTGCAGTTTTCCCCGATGCGTCAAAAAAGTGCTGCGCAGCTGAAGACAGAAAAAAAGGTCGCCTAGTTTCTGCTTTCACTCACCCCGAAAATGCTCTGTTTGCATGATTTGATTAATATCATCGTATCCAAATACTTTATAAATAATATGTAAAACATTCTCCAGTGTTTATCGTTTTTAGAAAACATCTAAAATCTTTTTTTCAGATAGGCTTTTGAAAAATCAAAGTTTAACATGGCTTTAAAACAGTTTGATATAGTACCTAATTGTTATAGCTAGCTTTTGTTAGTTTTATATTGGTTTATTTATTTAATGTTTTTTTTTATTATATCTGATATTTGTAATTCTTTAAATTATTTTAATATAGCTTAGGCCATTTTATCTAGATATGACACTATTGTGTTGAGCCTACAAAAGTGGACACTACATTTGTAAAGTTTAATGTCTTTCTGTTGTATTCATATAGTGTATTATCTCCAAAATAAATTAAAACAATAAAAAAGAAAAGAAAAAAGCCGCTCGCGGTATCAGAGCTATGAAGGGAGTGCTCTTTTCCTCTGTCTCACACACACATAAAGGCATCTAAACGCGCACAAACACACCTTTTAAACTTGACAAAAACTCTCGAAAACCTTTACTGTCAATTGTGTCTTTAATATGGTGTAAAGATTATTATGCGTTATTGAAACATCAAGGAGGATGCAGCAAAGAAAAGTCACTTATAAATTAAAACTACTTTATTATTTCATGCAACAGCCTTACATTTAAAAGAGAAACATAAGATTGATCATATGCAAAAAGACCCCAGCCTATAATTAGTTTCAGATGTTTTCTTTCCCTTATTTATTTATTTGTTTATGTTTTTGGCGCATGTACTCTTCTGCAATCGGAAAACTGTCCCCGCCTCCCCTTTCACTACGCCCCGAAGCCCCGGCTGGCCCTCTTTGTACTAAGGTATTCGGCGGGCCAAAAAAAGCCAGCTGCTGGCCCCAGGAAAGCCCCGATTTGAACCGATTAGGCCCCGGAAGTGATAGTGGGAACGCGACTGGCCTTGGCTCGCTCGCTTTAGGTGCGATAGTGGTAACGCGGCTAATGACCATCAGCCTTTTGGTAGCCTCGCTCTCCAAAGGTGCATTTCAGCAGCATGTAATGGCACGGTTAGGCTCGGCTTGGCCATAACATTACCAAAATGCAATATATAAAGACACACAGATAATTATAGGCTAGATGGAATAGTTATTATATTTGCTGCATGAGCATAAAAAAAAAAGAGTGAAGTCAGCTACAGCTGCTGCAGGAACATTTTATTGGGGTCAGTAGACAAGGTGCAGATGTTCTTCTTATTTTGAGATGTCTGTACAAGTATTTAGAGTCTGCCAATGTGATGTGAAGTGTAAGACGAAAAGAAAAGTCTTGATGCACAAAGCAGTCCCACATACATTTATAGCTGGTACATACATTTGAATAACTAGGCACAAAAGAAAATAAAGGCTTATGGTGTGTTTACACCAGACACGGATTAATCGTCAAGTGTGAGTAATTTACATGTTAAGTCAATGCATAGAAGCAATCAGACATCCGATGGCATTATTTACGAGAATGAGGCGAATGACGCAGCACTAATTGAGCATTTTGAGAATTGAACATGCTTAATGCGTGATTTGCACTGGTTGAAAAGTATAGACTTTAGTAAACATTTGTGCCATGCTAACCAATCAGGTGTTTGCTCTAGTAGGAGCATGATTATGACATAGTGCTTGTAGTTGGTGTCTTGAGGGGAAATCCTCCTGCTGACACAGGTCAACAGCTAACCAAACTGGGACCAGCTCAGTCAGAAGTACTGCTGAAAGCGCCTGTTATCCAGGCACAGCTTCTGGAAGAGTTGATGAACTCACAGAGGTGGGTGCACCTCGAAAGCATCTAATGGACCCAGACATTGCACAGAACAAATCATCCTTCCTAAAAATAAGTTTTTCATCCTTCCTAAATCACAAAAAGTGGTGTATCAATTGCCTGACTTGCACATCTGGGGCCTTATGTACGAAGACTTAAAATGGAAATCATACTAAAACATTGCGTACGCACAAAGCTGTAAATGAAAAAAAAATTCAGATGTATGAAACACTGCGTACACCGAATCCCACGCATAATCTTTTGTACATCCGAATGAACGCGAAACTGAGCGCACATGCACGAGCGCAAAACCCCTCCCTGCCTCCTCCCCCGTATGAATATACTAATGACTCTACTTTGGCAAAACCCAACGAAAAAGCAATGACAAAAGCAAACAAAAAGAGAAACTTTGAACAGAATGTGAAATGAAGGTGCTGCCTTCGGAGGTAGACCAGAGAAAAATTGTGTTATTTGCAAGTTTGTCCTCCGGAATTAACAACAAAAGAAAAAAAATAGAGTGGTGAGAGTTTAGCTGATGCGGTTAACACAGTTAAGTCTGCACATCGCACTGTGTGGATTAAAAAAAGAAATAGTGTGATTTATATGAGTACAATGTTGTAGTATCCCTAACAGTCTCAGTATCGCTGCTCGTAAAACGAATGATAACACGTTCAAGCATGAACTCGGTTCGAATCCAGCGTCTAATGAACTCATTCTTCTTTCCCCCCCCCCACTACATATCAGATTTTGCCTAATATTTATCACGGGAAAGACAAGTAGAAATCATTAATAAGTATGTGCATCATATTTTATTGGCACATTTATTGAATGGAAATGTTTCTGATTCACGCATGCAAATTCATCTTTACATGGTGCCTTTATAGCAATGTGCGGCAGTAGATCGCTCCCATTACATTGGGAAGACAGGAGACCACTGCAAAATGCCCTTTAAAGGTTTGCCTGGTCACCTGAATGGTATGGAAACCTTATATACCTGCTAGATCAACCGTCTCATACAGCTGCCATTGCAAGGCTCAGACACTTTGTAGAGAGCAATTTATAACACAACTGCCTCTAGAAGTCGCCAATGGAACAGACACGCACAAAAAATGTGCATACGCCAACCATAAAGCTGGCGTAGAGCAGCGCACATTCCCACGTTCATTTCCTCGTTAGTAAATCCAAACGGGAGCGATTCTGAGTGTGAAACCTGGCGTACACAAAGTTTTTGTGCGTACGCAGCATTGATACATGAGGCCCCT